CTCCAAGTCCGCCTATAGTAATTATCGTCAGCTTTCTGAGATGCAACAGTCGTTGAGGACTCCTTACGTTTAGTCCGGCAACCACAAAAGTGTACTTGCATCTCTTTGCCAGTTCGACGGCCCTCTGGATACCCTCTTCAGGATTAATCTTACGGCAACCACCCAACCGGCACGCACCACCTGGGATCGCTAACAGTGAGCCGCCCTTTACCTTTGATGTTGCAGCACTGCCAGCCTCAACGCGTAGGTGATACCGCTTCCCAGCTGTCATATCATATGTTGCTCGCTTTTCGGCTGAGCCTTTGCCGAAGAACATGCCTCCCGGCGTCTGTTCTGTCGAGTTATTAATGACGAGCTCATCATTGATGAATAGGTCACCAATGCCGTAAGTCGCCAAACCGAATTCGTACGTGCCAGTGTGCTCTGGAACGAAATTTGCACGCATGGACATGAAAAATGTTTCTCCTTTTTGGGGATGCTCGTAGTCCATGAGTTGGTAGGTGGTGTCCGGTATCGTTACACGGTCAAACGCCCTCCGCTGTTTGTTGGTATGTGGTTCGTTAAATAGCTCGATCGTTACACCTTGCCGGCCTTCATCATTGCACACACTGTCCTCTGTGAAAGGCGGTAACAAGATGTGTCCGTATACACCCGGCTCATGGTGTAACTTAGCTGTGGGAGGTAAAGAGTCCCGAATGCCCTTGAGTACAGAACTGGTATAGTATGGCCGAAGACTTGCGCTACCCCCTCCACAAGCAGCTGCGAGCTCAGCATTTGGCCCGATGATGGCCACTTCACTGCAGTCTTCTGGTGATACTGGCAAGAGATTGGCAGAGTTCTTCAACAGCACAACACTTTCGCCTGCCAAACGGCGATTCAGGGTCCTGTCTTCTGGAATATCCCGCATGTTCTCTTCCTTCTCGACACGAGCTAATGCCGCGTCATTGACGAAATGCAAGACTTTTCGCGCTCGCTCGTCTATGGTGTATTGGTGAACTTTGCCGGAAAAGACTGCGGCAAGGGCTTCTTTCTCTCTGTAACGACTAGGGCCGGGCATCTCGATATCAACGCCAGCGTTGAGCGCCGCCTCACAAGAGTAAGTGCCGTACCTGCATGTGTTAGCCGACACGCTGTGAAACGAAAAGAATTTGAGGCAGCGAGGCTTACCAGTCACTCATGATGAGTCCGTCGAACCCCCACTCTTTCCGCAAGATATCTTGAAGGATCATGGGGTTCTCAGAAACATGCAGGCCGCCAATTTTGTTGTAAGAAGACATTACCACTCTAGGGTTGCTATCTCTCAAAGCGATTTGAAAAGGTAAGAGATAGATCTCTCGGAGTGCTCTATCAGACATACGCACGTCAAGTGACATCTTCTCCGTCTCCTGATCATTAGCCACAAAGTGCTTCAGAGCTGCCAGAGTCCCCCGGGATTGGACGCCCCGGATGACTGCCGCTGCAAGCATCCCACTCAAGTGCGGGTCCTCGGAAAAAGACTCGAATCCACGACCGTTTAGTGGAGAGCGAATGATATTGACCGTTGGCCCAAGCCAGACATGGGCACCCTTAGCGTCGCATTCTTTGGAGAGCAGCTGGCCGGCTTGCTCGATCAGCGCAGCGTTCCACGTTGCTCCCAGGCCACTTCCGCAAGGAATACAAAGCGCGGGCACCGGGTTGAAGAATCGTGAGCCTCTGACGCCATTGGGTCCATCGGTGCATTTGATGGCCGGGACATTGTGCTGGGGAAGAGGGGTGGAGTGCCAAAAGTCGGAGCCTTTACCCATGAGCTGTTAGTACTAGGGACTCAGCTGGATGGGTTTCCTTTTTGGGGGACTCTCACCGGCAAGCAGCGAGACCTTCTCTGCGAGAGTGGCAGTTTCGATGATCCGATCAACATTGACAACCTTTCTTGGAGGAGGTTGCATGTTGGATGAAGGTAACTCGTGGTCTTGGGACACCATGTTCAAGACCAATTGGCAATGATTAAGATAGCATACGATCTAAGGAAGAGTCGAATGAAGAAACTATCGAAATCGAAAGGTGAAGTGAGCTCTCAAAACGAGACCTGAGAGGTATACGGAGAACTACCCGGATACCCGGGCGGCCGTTTCGGATGTCGGGAGCCGGAGCAGTCCGGAAGTCGCCGTATTTGGTGCGAATGTGGAGTGAGCTAAAATGAACTAGGGACATTTTGTAGTGGGAACAGCGCTGAGGGGCATGTAGATTGAACTTGTAATTGCATGTGATTAATAATTACTGCACTAAGATGACAATGTGAGGTCTCAGTCTTTCTCATGAATTCGGTCCACGGTGTTCGAAGAATTGGGCACTAAGACATGACTTACGACTTAAACGGCTCCGTGGCTTCTTATGATACGTAGCTTTGTGAAAATTGTTTTGCCGTCAAGTTATCGATCGCGGCGACTCCTTCAATAATAATTGAACTGTGGATATGTTAACATTCTATGGTAGAATGATGATATTCAACTGACAGAGGACGATGAATTGATAAGACCGTGGCTAGTGTTATGGAACATAAGAGGAGATAGTAAAGTCAGGTGAGTATTATTCATCAGTAGAATCAGTCCATCTACTGTGGTGAATTCATGTACACTATCGGAAAACGTCTATACAGGTGATCCGATACACTGAGCCGTAAAATCAGCCAAAATGAGCAAGAGTTTGGCGATGTCCACCGTTTGCGCTGACAGCAGCTCCGTTGACCCAACGTCCCTCCTCACTCGCAAGGAAACCCACGATGTAGGCGATATCGTCAGTGTTCCCAAGACGTGGACCAACAGTCATATACTCGAGCTGTTTGTCAATGAATTCCGCATGCAATTCCCTCGCCTTGGCCAGCGCATCAGTCTCCGTGGGTCCAACCGCGACGCTGTTGAAAGTGATTCCCTTCTCAGCAGCAAAGGTGTCTGCAAAAGACCTCGTGAAGCTGTCGAGAGCGGCTTTCGTGGCTCCATACGTCATGATAGGGTTCGGGTTGCCCGTTCTGCCAGCAATACTGGAAATGTTGATGACTCGACCACCATACTTGGGGGCATGTTCCATGAAAGCAGTTGTCAGGCTGACCGGGGTGTAGACGTTTGCGATCATAATGTCGTTGAAATCTTTGGCCTGGAGTGTCTTGACGTCCGAGGTGTTGGTAATGTCGGCTAGAATCGCATTGTTGACAAGGATATCAACAGTCGTAACCTTTAGTCCGTTCAAGGCGTCCTTAATGATCTTTGGGGCGATTGTGGGATCTGTTGAATCTGCTTTGATGGCAACGGCGTTCCTGACACCCAGTTCACGACATTGTGCGAGGGTATTATCTGCAGCGGCTTTGTTTGCCACGTACGTGATGGCGAGGTTTTCCAAGCCTTTGCGAGCAAAGTGTACGGCAATTCCACTGCCGATTCCTCGAGAGCCTCCGGTGACGATGGCAGTTTTGCCCTTCAAGGACCACGGCTCAGCTGGGGAGGCTGTGCTAGACATTCTTGACTAGTTGGCGATGTGTTATGGCGGGATAAGCTTGATTGTTGGTGGATAACTTGAATAGAACGCGAATGATGTTGGAAGAGACTGTCGTATTCACTTCCCCTAGACTTAAGGGTCCGACGGTTCTCATAAATAGTACATACAAGGCATGTTCGCGAGTACGAGTGGTTTTAAAATTCAGACGGTGATATCACCGAAGCACAAGTAAGTTTGTCATCTTTGTTCGAGCATGGCGGACCGCGAAGTATGGATCCGGGGTACCTCAAACGTCCGAGCTGTGGACTGACTGCCAAGTCCGCAAGCGTAACGTTGATCGCCAGGGTATTTCTCATTGACTAGTAAAATTATGAGCATTATTCCCACTCAAGAGTATATATTCAATGACATGGATGAGTAATTCAAACCGAGCCAACCAATGTGTTGTCTAGGTACGGTGTAACGGCGCTGTACTTTACGCTTGCTGGAGAGGGAAGCTTTCGTCCGTTCTAATATTTCCCAAAATCGGATGAGTTTTGCGCAACACTTCTACACATGTCCATGGAGGTACCTTTGACCCAAATCTCCACACTTTCTAATCTTGCTATGCAGTCAGACATAGGTCATCTACAACTTTGTTCATTACACTTGTGCGTCAAACGAGACCTTGAGCGTTGGCCGCTTTCGTCGCTGGAAGTATGCATTCTTAGTGACGTTGTTTGCGGAATTCATGCGGACTTGACTAGTCCTAGTTCGATCTATTGAAAGTCGCAATAAGAAATGTTCTACCCAGGGTCACTGATGATTCGATGAACCATGCACAGCAGTCCAGCGGAGTGATAACGTTGCACAATAACCGAGCTAAATCCACTTGACCTCAGCTCAGAAACATGCGCAATAGGCTATGCCGGCCTATATCCCGAAGACCTTCTCAAGGCCTTTGAGATCTTTGTCTCGGCATTGACCATTGGGATGTATCTCACCGCCACCTACAGTACCTTAGGTAGTACTCGTGACATGTCACTCGGCCCGCGACTTGGTTGGTGAATCGTCTAGCACTCCAGTTCTGCTCAATTTTAATAATTATGGATTACGTCAGTTACTGATCCGGCCGGTCCAAGACTCGGACGAACAGGGTGGGACACGGAGTTTGCGGAGGTTAGTGCCGGCGCACCTTAGCGGAGCGGGTAGTCAGCTACCCCATGCCGATGACCAGAGTCTCAATCACGATTCAACGTTGTACTTCCGGCACATCCTTCTCCGGGAGGCGCGAGGGCTCCGCTTCGGGCGAAAAGCTGCATTTGATTACCATTCTAGCTGTCGGAGTTTCACGCCCCTATATTTAACAAATGGAAACTATTCAACTATCTGATTGGCCTACCGACTTGATAGGGCGTCCGTGAAAACCAAAGTGCTTCCATTTCGTTAGGGGTAGCACCCGGGCTCCTTGCGTGTTCTATGCCGGTTTCTATAATTATCTTCTAGGTGAAAGCTGCCGTCTTTCAAAATGTCTACCATATAAACATCTCGATCTAATTCTTCTTCTGGCTGACGCCGAATGTTGTGAGATGCGGCCAATCTAAAAGGTTTCATCAGTAAAACATTTGGCTATTAAAGTTGAAGTGAGACTGAGGGTTTACCGAAAGTCGTTCTGTCCGAATTAACGTGGGAGATCCGCGCTTTCTGTCCCACGCTTAGTGTCTCGCCAACAGCTGACCCAAAGCAGTATCCGTAACGTCCAAAGACAGGGCTGTATTTGGCGCCCTTGTCGACTCGGCGATCTTTATTCAGCTTCTTCCACACCAACCCACGATCGTCGCACGCAGTCTTGCCAGTGTTATAGTCAACAGTAATGCTTTGGCAGCGATAACAGTTGGCCGTCAGAGGCATCTGGACACCGCCGTCAAAAGTCAACTCGCCCCAAAAGTCCTCTGCAAAGGGACCGCTTGCGCCTTTGACGACGACATTCGGGCGGAACTTTCGAACGTCCATCGTCAAGTCGCCTTCTAGACGAGAAGAGACCTCCGCGGTGGACTCTTCAGTGACAACGAGGTAGTGTGCAAGATCGTTGAAGACAAGACGCTCCTCAGGAAACCGAGCAAACGGGATGAATGACCTGAGACGCTGCGCAAGTCTGGCCTTTCTCAGGCCTCCTTTGCTGTTTGGTGCCAAAGACCCCAGGACAGGCCGTGAGCCATTGCCAATGTAGGCGAGTCTTGCCTCAACCCCGAGGCGCTCCGAGAACCATGTCGCAAGTTCGTCGCCCATATCGTAGGCTTTAGCCTTACTTACGTGAAGGCTTGTGTCAATCACTTCCAGTCTCTCTGTGGTTGGCGATAGGGGGAATCCGATTTCATCAGTAGTGGTGATGTTCGCTTCGTTGATGGATTTGCCATGCTCCGTCCCCCGGCCGTGCCATTTTACTACCACTTCTCCTTGGGTCGCATTTTCTTGCCTTCCATCATGCTCGATCGAAGCCTGAAATAGTGCCATATAGAGGTAGTAGCCGATGAACATTGTCTCATATGTCTTTTTGGATGGGTCGGTTTTATCCCGGATGACCTTTTGCAGGGAAAACGTCCTATCTCCGATCAGGCCGTATTTGCCTAAATGCGCTCGTTGCACCGCGCATCCTCCAAGCCCTTTGATAGGATATATGTATAGCTATGAGATTTTATTAGAATCATTCACATTGACTACTTTACATGGGGGGGCCAAGTTGTACTTGTGTGATTTCTAGGGGTTTGGTCGCTGGTTGTGGTGACCGGGCTAGCCGGATGCCCAAAATAAGAGCTATGATCGAGCAAGCTACGAGAGCAACGGCAGTGCTCATAGTCGTCAGGGGATTGGGCGTCATCTGGACTTCAGCCCATGTCTCATTCGTTGCCGGCTCCATCGTTGACTTGTGTTGAAGAGCTCACTCTCTATTGGGGACGGTTGCTGTCTACTCAAAATTTTGCAGCAATTGGGTTCAAGGCGGATTATGACCGCCCACCGGGTGAGCTTCCGACGCGTTCTTTGATCTGCCAAACAAGGTTTGATCCCGGATAACAGTTACAGCTGTCACACAAAACAGCAAACCGGGGCATTTTAACTGCCGCTAAGCCCCTTGAGGAAACTAGATGGACCAAATCTTGCAAACTTTGGAGCTTCGTCAAGCCAATTCAGCCCGGATCCCATCCGTGCTCTTACCCCTTTTCCCCCGCACAGCTTCCCCATCTACCGAACCCTTCTCGAGCACTTGGGAGGAGGGGCCTTGATACCAGACGGGAATCCGAACCCTGCTGATAGCAAACGACAACATCAGGCTTAGATCTCCACTCGCTCGTCACTATCTGCTATCGCGAACATCGCCGAGAGCCTGCTAGTACCCAATTCGACATTGAGGCAGCCTTATAAAGTATCGAGCTAGCCGTCTCTTGACCGTTGAAGCCCCAAAGATGCCCACAAACAGAGTCAGGGTAGTCGAGGGATCATGTTGGCCCTGCAAGAAGCGGCGCATCAAGTGCGACCTGACAAAGCCCCGGTGCAATCGTTGCGCCAAGATCGGGGCGGATTGCGACTTCAACGCTCGCCGCCTGAAATGGAGCACGCGGCCCACGATCAAGGCTCCGGCCATCTACCAGATCGCCACCAGAGACGCGCAGCTCGCGTCCTGTCTGGCTTCAGACGAACGTCGCGCCCTGGACTACTTCCACCACCGCCTGTGGCCACTTCTCACGACGGCCCCGGAACCTTGCGCAGCCCCAATCTTACAGGCCCTCGAGCATCGAGTCGTACTTCTCGCGGCGTGCGTCATTGCGGATGCGCACCGGGTTCTCCAGGACGGAAGGAACAGCCGCAGTCTTCTCCGCATGAAGCGACTCGAGTGTCTCGCGGCCGTACGTGGTGAGGTCGGCGGCGCTCACATGGTTGATAAGAGTTCACTCATGACCCTGTTGCTCGCTGTGCTCTTACTCTATTTTCACGACGGATACCTTGAGTGCGCTCAGGCGTCTGCCTCAACGTCAAGTCACCACGGGGGCGTCAAGGCAATCATCGACAGTCTCGGAGGCATTCTCCCGGTTCTGGAGACGAGTCATGAATCGATCCACATGCTCCTCTCCGAATTCGCGTCAACAGATCTCACAACTATCATGCTCAAGGGAGGGAAACCCTCGTTCCCTCACGAAATATGGGATACGATTGAGAGGAGATCCGTATGGTGGGGAAGAGACATCCTTGGACGCTCATCCCTGGCCTCAGTTTTTCAGCAAATATCTCGGTTAACAGAGTACCGAGATGCTCTGAACAACGGCACCGAGCAACTATCAATGGAAACTATCCGCAACTTCGAGACGGCCTTGTCTCCGATGTATGCCAGGATCACAGACACATGTTCAGATACTGGAGACGTGGATCCGGATTCGGATGCGAATAACGATTTCACTCTAATTCGTGCCTTTCAGCATACGGCTCTCATCTACATGTATCGAGCCATTTGCGGTCTGCCAGTCTCCCATTCTCTCGTACAGCAGCACGTTTTACCGTGCTTAGAGTGCATCATCGATATGAAACAGCCATCAAAGGTGCTCAATTGTGTCATTTTTCCTTTGCTCGTTGCTGGTGCGCATGTTCAATCTCCAAGACACAGGAAAGCAGTTTTGGGTATACTTCATATTATTCGAGATGAGATGCGGTTTGCTACCTTGCATACTGTCTCAGAGGTCTTGTGTGGTGTATGGAAATCCGCTCGAGAGGACATAACTTGGTCAGAAATGTACTCCGAATTGGCGTCAGATGCCGTCGTGCTATAAATAATTCAATAAGGGAGTTTGGGGCTGAGAATAGGTTATGTGGCTATGAACTTTCAAGATTTCTTTACTCGACCAGTTCACAGTTTGAATCCCATGTTGACGTGCACTGCCTTCGTCTGTGAGTAAGCAGCGAGACCAGCTTCTCCCAGTTCGCGGCCAATGCCACTTTGCTTTACGCCGCCGAATGGAACACGAATATCAGAGTCATTTGAACTGTTGATCCAGACCATTCCGGATTCGAGGCGGGCGGCTACGCGATGGCATCGCTCGATGTCGCGTGAGAACAACGCAGCTCCAAGTCCATATGATGTGTTGTTGGCCAAAGAAACTGCCTCTTCCTCCGTCTTAAATGGTGTGATGGCAACGAAAGGACCAAAAACCTCTTCTTGAAAGATTCTCATGTCTTTCTTCACGTCGGAGAAGACTGTCGGCTCGATGAAGAATCCTTTGCCATCTCCGACATTCTTGTATGGAACTCCACCAGTCACAAGCTTGGCACCTTCATCCTTACCGGCCTGGATGTAGCCGAGAATCTTTTCATATTGGACCTTCGTGATCTGAGGTCCCTGGAATGTGTCGTCGTCGAAGGGATTGCCAACCTTGTTCTCAAGACATATCGCCTTGAACCGTGCAACATAGTCCTGGTAGACATCCTCATGAACTAGGATTCTGGATGTGGATGTGCAGATCTGGCCCTGGTTGCTCATGATGCCAACATGACCCCATTTTGCTGCTTGGTCGAGATCGGCATCGCTGAAGACCACAAGAGGTGACTTTCCGCCGGTCTCTAGCGTAATGTTTTTCAGGTTGACGCTCGCAGACTTCATAATCTGTCTTCCGGTTGCTGTGGAGCCAGTAAAGGCGATTTTATCAACATCGGTATGAGAAACCAGGGCGTTGCCGGCCTCCCTTCCAAGTCCATTGACAATGTTGATAACGCCTGGTGGAAATCCTGCTTCCTTGACCAGAGTCGCAAAGTACAGGACGGAGAGTGGCGTTTGTTCAGCAGGTTTCAAAACCACTGTGTTGCCACACGCCAGTGCCGGACCGAGCTTCCTAGTAGTTGAATTAGTTTGTGCTTTTTTCTTTGAAGAAGCGATTTCACTAACCATGCTGCCATCATGATGGGATAGTTCCACGGAATAATTTGTCCACAAACTCCAATCGGCTGCTTGATTGTGTATGCAAACTTTTGAGGCGTCGTCGGAATGGTCTCGCCATGGATCTTGTCCGCCCAGCCAGCGTAGTAGCGTAACGTTGAAATGGTTTCCGCAACGTCTTCCCCGAGGGCCACGCCATACGGCTTGCCGCCGTTCCACGTCTCGAGCGTGGCTAGAGTCTCTTGATTTGCCTCGACGAGGTCGGCGAGCTTAAACATCAATCTTCCCCGATCCGTAGCAGAGATGTCACCCCAGCCTGAGGCATTGAGAGCTGCTCGTGCTGCCTTCACAGCCTTGTCAACATCTTCGGGTGATGCGGCTTCAACTGCAGCAATCTCAGATTCATCACTATAATATGGTCAGTCTCATGGAATTGGATAGGTGACTTCAACTTCTGATCGTACCTTGGGTTGATGGCAGTGATCTTGGATCCTGAGCTAGCTTTCACGAACTCATTGTTGATGAAGAGCCCTGTAGGCAGGGAGATCTTCGTGCCATTCGGCGCTGTAAGGTCCAAGGTAGCAGCTGACATGGTGATGGAAAGTCCGAAGTGTGTGGGTAAGGGGAAGAAAAACAAGACACAGCGGGTCGAACAAATCAGCGCAGTGCGTCTTGGTTCAAGTCGAAGACGTGAGGCAGCCCGCCCTCTTATCCACGCAAACTGTCAATGCATATCGGACAGACTAGGCAATAAATGGGATCATTTAGTCTCCGCCATCAAAGTGTCCAGACAAGTGGGGAAGCGGATCTGTGAAATTCTGCAGATCGTAAGCGGCTAGCTATCAGACGGAGCCACACTGGCAGCTCGGAGATCCTGAAGCAGACAAAAGATGGACAAGATCCCGTTTCCTGGTCGTATGAGCCCACCGGGTTAACATGTGTACGGATACTTCTCCCCACCTTGGTTACTCCAAGTTGCGCAGCGTCAATTTTAACCATCCCAACGCCGATGAGAGGAGTGCGGGGCCTCCCGCAGGAGCTGTCCGAATTAGGCAACTTTTTTGACCATTGGCGCGGGGTTGTTGAGGTGCAGCAGCACAGGGTGGTCGGATAGCTTGAATCAGAGAGCCGGGAAAGTAGAAGCTCAAATCGGTGATTGCTTAATGTGATTCCAGGTTGCGGATACGAAGCATGAGACATTTTGACCAGTCCCAAGTCGGATCTGGACATCCGAGACGGGCAAGACACCACTACATGTAGTTACGCTCAAGTTGCAGGGTGGTCGCGTAGACCTCAACTTTGGCCGGGGCGGTCCATCACTACCCTGAGAAGGTTTCTCAACCGGAGCAACCAAGCTCAAATTACTTAAACTTACTTCAATTCTGCCAATCAAAATTCCGCCACCAGTGAGCTTAGCTGCGGGATGCGTCACTACTGCATGCGCAGCCGACTTTGTGTCAGGATGAACTTGCGTCTTGGCTTGGACCTTCTACCAAAGACATGGAAACTAATATTATCACTGTCAACTCGCAAGATAAGTCAGAGTATTACTGGTGGCTCATTGAGGTGAAGGTTTGAACTTTCTTTTACACTGTTGGTATTCTACGGCCTAGCCATGATCCCTTGGAGTTGACAAGATGGTCTAAGGGCTGTCTACAGTCACATAGTTACATTTACTTGAAAGTATCAGATTTGAGTGATTTTACAGAATCTCGCTCAGTTTATCAAAGTTAAGGATTCAAGGTGGAAGGCTACACGATGTTGTACTTGGCGACGAATGATGCTCTTAAGACAGATAGCCGACATGGTACATGAAGTACCCAAGATACCGCGCCAATGTTAATTGTGCCTAGACCACAAGGATGGGAAAGTTTCCCTCGAATCCTACATCCACGTTCCCTAGACGGGGATCAATGCTTCAACTTCGATTTCAACTTGCATCCCTTCCAGTCCAAGCTTGCCGATTTGGATGCACGTCCAGATTGGTCTATGATTCGGGAACAGTTTCTTGAATGTCGTCGTCATGACATCGAAACTCGAGTCCATATCAAGATGATAGGAGCGAATCGCGTAAATGTCTTTGAAGTTGAGGCGTGGGTGAACGGCTTGAAGAGCTTTGAGAGCATTCTCGAATGCAATAGCGATCTGCTTTTCGAGGTCGGTTGTGATATTCCCTTTATCGTCCCAGCCGCCCTGACCCGATGTGCGAACGACGTTTCCGATCTTTACGGCTTGGGAGTAGTGGTATTGCTCAGCGTTGGACTCAGTCCCAGGATAGTTGAAAAATTGGGCAGAGGCCATGTTTGGGACTGTAGAGCGTTGTGATGGGCTCAGTCTGATGTGCTTGAAGAATTTAGGAGCAATATTGGTACATAAGGCTCGTCAGAGGGGCAACAGTACCACAGTTAAGCTACTTATCTACATGAAAGGCAGTCAAGAAGGGCAGCCAAGAGGCTCAAGTAGTTTGCATGCAGCTAGAGCGGGGATTCAAGCCCGGAGCGGGGGGTCTGTATGTTGAAGTAATGCCAAGCTCGTACCGCTTTAGTATTGCAGGATATGCTCTCGGGTTGCCGCTTTCAGATGACCTGCCTTACTCATTGATTGAGGAGCTAGGTGAATCAACACCGAGGGCTGGCTCCAGGGGTGTTACACAGCGTAAGTCTCGAATTGGTCCATCTTGTTACTTCTTTCGGAAGGATGATACTCGTAAAATGAAGGGTACGGCTAGATTTCCGGTTTAACAAAAGTAACAATTCACCTTTTCCTATCTACCTTAGACGCACTCACACAACTCGGCCGAACTACTGCCCGAAACGCAAGGGCTTGCAGTCGTATTCGTGTCTCGCCAAACCGGAGAACCGAGATAATGTCCCTGGCTTACCTCATGACTAGTACTAGAAAGAGAAGATCCTCTTTGGCACTTTGTCGACGTGACTGTCAGAACACTTGAATGTAGGGTAGGATCGTGAAAAACAGAAATATACGCGGGCAATCAAGGTGTCCTCCGCGGCCTACAATAATTAAACAGCGCGGTATTTAACGCTGACAAGTAGTATATGTAGGAAATAGACTTAAGCTTACCTAAGTAGGTGGAACTGCAAGTAGGTTTAACACAAACGCAATATGATCAAAAGATCTCCATTGCATGTGTCTAAAGAGCGAGAATTACTGCATTAAACTCTCCGGAAGACGTGGCTAATTTTATGTCGAGACTCAATGTCCTGAAAGGCTATGCTTTTCTACCATATCCCAGTAATGAGGCGCTGCCATGCGTCGCAACGGTTTCCCTAAGTACATCATGACCAGACACAGTGCCCAGAATGTCACTCCGAGAACAGCTGTGACTATGAAGGCATCGCGAAGACCAATGCTATTAATCATTGGCACTACAGCATAGCTGAAAGCAAAGCCTAGGTACGATTAGCTTTAAACATGACGCAAAGAGGAATGACAGGTTGATTTACCCATCGTGTTGCGGATGAGGATAGCTGACACGAAGCCCTCGCCAGCAAGGTCCTTGAAGCTGTCAAGGATATATGTGAACGCCATGCTAGTTCCCAAGGGGAGGGTGACAGAGATCAAGGCCAACCCAAAAGCGATACCGACCCAGTGGATTTGGTATGAAGCCCCCACACCGTATAGAATGCAACCGACAGGATGGGCCACGATAGCCAGGAAGCATAACCAAAGACGATGCTCGGGTTCCATTACTCCCCCATGTCGGCGAGCCATCCACACTGACAAAGCATCGCTCGCCCAGCTTGATATCAGACATCCGATCGATACTCCAATCACCGAAGCAAGGTAAAAGAGACCGATGACGTTGGAACCGAAGTTGTATGGTGGGTTGCCGAGAATGAGGGCTAGAGAGCCGCCAACTACGTTGTACCAAGAGAGTATACCCCCAACCAGGATGCCTGCGAAAATGACGGAAGGGAAACGAAGGAGGTAAAATGGCAAAAGAGACTGCTTCAGCTGTTTTGATTTTCGGTCGTCTTGATAACCCCATAGCTTGAATTTCGACCAAAAAGCCTTTTCGAGCGCCACGTTGACGCGGTTCGGTAAAGTTCGTGTCTCGATATCGGAGTTGACACTAGCTGCACCTTCCGCAGGTTGAGGTTTTTGGTCTTCGGACCGCTCGGTGTCGATCGCGCTCTTGTCGCTACCAAAGAGACCCCGCTGCTGATCGGGGATGCCCCGAACATCGGTTTGTGAACTGGGCCTGTAGAACATGGTCTCTTCGAAGAAAAGGAGGGTCAAAATGGTAACTACGCCTCCTATAATGGACAGAATGTACTGGATCCAACGCCAACCCAGGTCTTCGGCGATGAATCCTGTAGCGACTGGGCAGAGGAAGGCACCGCACCACAGTGTCCAACTGTAGATCCCCATGTAGAAGCCTCGTTGGTGGACGAAATACAGGTCGTCAATGATGACTTCGATGAGGGTCTCCATTGGCGAAGAGACAATGCCGATAATAATGCGGTTCACAAAGAACTCGGCTCGAGACTTGACGTAGGCAGTCCAGAGACTGATAAAGGTCATCGTGACCATCGAATAAACGAGGGTCGGACGCCTTCCGTAATTGAGGGCGAAGTTCTGGGTGAGCAGAGTGCCCCAACCGAGGAAGAGAAACATGAGGCCATTGCCGGTGCTAAGGTCTGCTACAGAAATGCCGGTGTCTGCTTCGATCTGCAGGTAGGCGGGAGACAGGCCGGATATGATGGCAGCGCCGAAGAAGCACCATGTCATGACCCAGGAGATGTTGAACGTCTTGCGCTTTCGCGTCCATGAGAGCGGATCGTTCGGATCGCTGCTCGGTTGCGGAACAAGAACGATATTGGTGTGCTCCGAGCCATGCTTCACGTCGAGGACGCCTTGTGTGTCGACTAGCTGCACCGTGCCCGGGATATCGAACGTGATAGTCGTGTTTGTCATGATGGTTGCTGGCACGGCCCATACAGGAGACCATCAAGAGCACCAGCGGTGGCTCGACAATGATATACCAGCCGACCAAAATTCTGCTCTTCTTCTGACGACTGAAAATTCTACACTACCACCTCCTTTTCTGCTGGTTCAAAGCCAACGAGGCGGACTGGTAGGCCATCAAACTGCTGCATGGACCATCGGGCCCTTTTCCAAACTCTGAGGCCTCATCCATGCCGGCGCTAAACCGTACGAGGGTAGGAGATGGTCCAGGACTGCTAGGCCAGCCCCTCGAAGCATGTGCTAGGCGCAGATTAGTAGGCTGGGAATGCCACCTTTCCAAGCAGTCTTATCAATGCGGTATCTAAGTTCTGGAGATTTACTGCCCAAGGAGGCCGTGCACGCGCGAGGATTTCTGCGTCCGACGCAACGTGAAGACACAAGCCGGCCCCGCGAGGCTTCACTTCCGGGGGTTTAAACGTGGGGGGAATGCCTCCACTTGATTCCTCAGACACGGTAAGACGTGCACCTCTAGATAATGCAGGTCCTTTGGTGGACTCGACGTGCCCTGAATGGGGTTACAGATCTGGATGCCAAAGAAATGGTCCAACATGTTTCCGAATTTGGCTATGCCTACTTATCTAGCGACGCTCCGCGGGGTCGATAAGGTGAGATAACCGCATGAACTGGAAATCAACATCTGTAATCTCTGTGCTAAGTATCCTGTGGTTGGATGGGGAAACGTGCATCATGCGATTTCTCATGGCATGGCATGGGGTATTGCAGCTTCAAGATGCGCGTGACATTTGATGCGAGGTGCGAAGCCATTACTACAGAATGGAAACATTGGAGTCAAGCAATCAGGCCGGTGATACGATAACAACATGAAATACCGATATATACGTGGCAGTCAACAAGGTTATCACCAATAGTTGACGTCTGTAAAAAAGTGAAGAGAGGACGATTCTAACATGGGTTTCTCTCGCATTAATAAATGGCATCGGTGCAGATAGTAAAATTTGATATTCTGCAAGCTTGGATGCACCAATCAGGGTAAAACTCCAGCACCCGTCCGTATTGTCTTCTCCTCCATATTTCAAATAATCATGTACAATAGCTCCAATAGCTCTGTTCTCAACAAGTACCCGGGACCAATATTAAAACCTCCATATTTTCTCTTAGGCTCTCAATCTTTGACAACGTGCACCGTGACTTTTCAGCGGGATCAAAGTTGATCGAAACGTATGTTTTCCAAAACTTCAATCCACATCGATCACAACCTTCAAAGCTCCATGTTTGGACGCTTCTCCAAAGGTATCGTATGCCTTCTCCATGTCACCAAGGTTGAAGTCTGGAGCTCTTGTTAGTCATACTCTCACGACAAGTCGCACGGTGCTAAGTAGTAAAAGTCCTTACGGTGAGTAATCAGTTGCGAGGGCTGCAATTTGCCAGACTGTACAAGCTTCAAAAGCATTGGTGTCGTTGTTGTGTCCACAAGTCTGGTCGTGATTGCTGTATGTTGAGTCAGAATTGGCGTCGACGCACGGCTTTGGCCATCCCAAAAGCTCGATTTTTTGAACTCACAAATATTCTTGTCCCAAAGATTTTGAAGGTGAAGGTCAACCTTGGTTCCATGAACTCCCACATTCGCTAGGACACCACCGGGTGCGAGCAAGCTTTGGCAGAGATCAAAAGTGGCCGGTATTCCCACAGCTTCAATGACCGAGTCAGCGCCTTTACCCTCAGTCAACTCTTTAACTTTGGCAACAGCATCTGCCTTGGAGCTGTCAATAGTCTCGGTTGCGCCAAATTGCCTTGCGACGTCAAGTCTCTTCGGGTCCATATCGATGGCAATGATTTGAGACGGGGAGTACATCTGGGCCGTAATAATAGCCGCCAGACCAATCGGGCCTGAGCCGACAATAGCGACAGTACCGCCCGGCTGTACCTTTCCGTTCAGCACACCGCATTCGAGTCCTGTCGGAAAGATATCGCTTAACATCACTAGTGAGGAGTCATCGGCGCCGTCCGGGATCGGGTGGAGACTGGACTCGGCGTGGGGAATGCGGACGTACTCGGCCTGAGTGCCGTCAATGGTGTTTCCGAGGATCCACCCGCCGGACGTGCAGTGACTGTACATGCCTCGGCGGCAGTACTCGCACGTGGCGCAGCTGGAGATGCATGAGATGAGGACTCGGTCTCCTTCCTTAAATCGTGTGACCGAAGCCCCCGCTGAGTGGATGATACCTACACCTTCGTGACCCAATGTAGTGCCTGGTTGGCAAGTCGCTACGTCGCCCTTACGAATGTGGAGGTCAGTGCCGCAAATGGTTGTCTTGGTGACTTTGACGATGACATCGGTTGGTTTTGAGATGGTGGGGAGAGGTTTATCCTTCAATGATACTGAGTTTGAACCGTCGTAGACAAGGGCCTTCATTGTTGACAGATGCCTCATCAACAGCGAGCCGACAGGGCTCAAATTTGTGCGAGTGAAGACTGGGGAAAGGCAATTTGCTCGGCTTGAAGACGCCAGTGCAGGCAATGTTGATCTTGAAGCTCGAAGCATGAAAGACTTGGCCGCTCGTGTTGTTGCAGCCATGATGCACGATATCCTTTGATTACTGACGAGTCAAAATGATCGAATTGAATTATATAATATTTGAGGTCAGACAGGTATAAATCAATCACACAACGAGGGAATTGGATGCTAGCTTGGTAAATATTATTGACAAATAATCCCGAGGTCCTGGACTGGGAATTGTCAGATCGTATGAGTGACGAGCAGGCTGTGAGCTTATGGGCTGACGTTCCGTGACGTCTGGGGTCGATGTGGGGATATTGCCTGCAGAAGAGGGGAAGCACCTGATTCTGAGTCTCTGGTTCGTCTCGGCATGCACGGGAACCAGGACCAACTTCACGGAAAGCCTGTTAAATGCTAGAATATTCCCCCGCAATCGGCTAACTGGACATCTTCGCTGATCATGGGGGACGATGTTCCCTTGTTGTCGCGTTGGTGACAAGGTACAACATCAGGAGTTGCGGTTCCGCAAAGTCCATGCGGTTCCGCTCCTAACAGGAAGTCATAGCCCTGTTATTCCCCAAAAGGCACAGCTTCCATATATTGTAACGTGATCAGCGTACCACAATTCAAGATTTAGAATAGAGAAGTGCGAATTCTAGGCATCTCACGAATGGACTCATATTCACAAAGTCGCCCTGGAGCGAGGTTAGCTGCGTGGCGCCGAGCTGGTTTCCCAGCTGCTTCCTCTCGCGTCACGAATGAATGCGAAAGCAAATCAATGGCCGCAATGGCCCGTTATAGACTAGACCTGTATTTCTAGAGTTCTGAAAGAATCACTCGTCAACATCGAGGAGAGGTCATCGCACCGTTATGGCTGGTGTTAACATCCGCTTGGCATGAGCCAGAGAATTTGGTCTAATATGGCCTTTCATCTGTCGAGGTCTACATCTAATGCAGGCAGATCAATCATTTTCCTGGTCTGGTTCAAAAAGAGGCCGGTAACTCTATCCAATATCACAGGACACTGGGCCTTCATGCTTACTTGCGAGGAGCTGCCTTTGTGAGCCAATCCCGAACTCTTTCAGATGCCAGACGAGGAACGCCCTCGTACTTCTTGTCTTCGTATGTCGCGTCGATTTCTTTCGCCAGGCGCTGAGCCTTGGCAATGGTGATCCTCTTCGCGTTGGTCCAGTGTGTCGTCGAAACAAAGTCATCCGCGTCGTTGACCAGCATTTGGCGCTTTTGGCGCAACTTGGCGTCGTCCGTCTTTTCACCAGCGCAAAGCGCGCAGTTGCACTCGAAGCCCCATGTTGTTACGAGAGCCTTCTGTCTCGCCTCGTAGTTGCTCGATTCATCGTAGCTGTGGAAGATTTCCTCGCCCTTGGCAATTGGTCGCAGCGCACGAAGGACCATCAGGTCGCCGACGTAGTCCTTCTTGGCGTTGGCGATACAGGAGTGGTTGATGTAGGCCGCCCAGACCCAGAGACCGGTGCTTGCGTTCCTCGCGCCCTCCTCTCCGTACTGGCCGCCGGGTCCAAAAGCGTTGCGAGAGACAATATCGTGGATCCGGAAGACGTCGACCACCGGGCCCTCTGGGGTCTCTGACGTCGCCTTGCCCTCACCCTGATAATCTCCGTAAAGATCCAGCACCTTTGCAATCTGCGAAGGATTCCTAAGGAGCTTCTGAGAGATGGCCTTAGTCAGGCCGACGGGTGCCACCCTAATCTTATCGTCTCGGACATCGTAGGTCATCGCAGTCAAAACCTCGCTCTCATGACCCCAGACCACACAGAAAGCCTTCTCAGCCATGATTATCTCGCCAGCAGCGATATCGCAAGTCGCGAACAAGCCTCGGCCTCGCCCCTTACTGTCTTTGACCTCAGTCTTTGCCGTGAAGGTTGCCGCGTCGGCCCGTGGTGAGACTCTGGTGAGATTGGCCCTGATCTTCTGTAGGTCGTATGACCCCTTTTCCTGTTCGCGAAGCCGCATCTCCACCTTGCGCAGGTAGACTGCCGCGCCTCTCTCCGCAGGTGCGAGTTCGTGGGCCTTTTCAAAGTACTTTTTGGCCTCTTCGAAGTGGCCCAGGTTGTAAGCGCCGCTGCCGGCGCGGAAGTAGGCTTTGCTGTCAAGTTCCTTGGACTTCTGATCGTCGGCGCCAATGAGAGAGGCCTTGGCGTCAGCGATGGCTTCGTCTTGTCGGTCCAGAAGTAAATGCGCGTGAGCTCGATTCCGTGCAATGTCTCTTGCGATGTCTGGATTCGTCTTGTGGACAGGCTCTTGCCTGGCAACCTTGAGTCCTTGGCTGTAACTTGTCCGAGTGAGAGGGAGGTCCTTCTTTTGCAGTGCCGCGTTACCCTTGTCCTTGCACTTCTTTGCAATTCCATCCCCCTTGGTTCCATCTTCAACCTCGCCCAAGCTGCCTTTTACGATCTCCTCTCTGATAATGACGAGATCGGAGGGGTGGTCGATCCGCAGAGTAGCCTCGCCCTCTTCCGTCAAGGTGAAATACGGCTCCTTAATGATGAAACGCCGTGCCGACTCGAGAGTGTCTTCGCCGTCTGTTGTCTTATGTAAGACCATTTCCAAACGCTCCGTCTCCTTCTCTTGTTCATCTTGAACAACAGTCCATGAGCGAGCAGCAAGAGCCACCACCGGACAGCGTCTCGCACGTTGCACTGTCAAAGAACGCCCACGGTGATGAGTCTCTATTGTGAGTTCCGAAAATGCCATGGGCTTGAGTTCATCCAGGGATGCGGTGCTTGGGGGGTATGCCTGTCCAACTCCGAGAGCTGGGATTGTGTCCTTCTGACCCTGTCCAGTCATTTGACCCATGTCCATCATGAGTGAGGTACCAGTCGCCTGGCTGACAGTAGCGTGCGCATCCCGAAACTCTCTGGCGTTGCCCTTTTGCGTTGAACATTTCTTCTGTGTCTCTTGTACAGTGGTCCGAATCCGCTGAGCCTCTTCTTCGGTCAGCAGGACCGTGTTTCCGCCGTTCTGGTGCGCCATTTTGGGGGACTGCTGTCGGTGCACGACCTTCGCGATGATGCGACTATGACAACTGCTGGGCGATACAGCTGAAAATAGCAGTAGAGTTGGATATTCTCTTCGTCGTTCGTCGTAGAGAGACGGAAAAACTAGAGGTGCCGGAGCCAACGAGGCCGCGAAGTTAGATCAAGTTCTGTGTGCAGTTATTCCGAGCAGGCTTTAGGGTTCGATCTGCATGACAAAATTTACGCATGCCACCTCCGACGTTGTTCCCACCGAAAAACTCAGAAACTAGTCAATTCGCCCAATGATTTCGTGTTTCCACAGACCTTTCCCGCGCCATGCTGCCCACTCATACCCCACCATCCTCAGTGTCGTCACTAGGATATCGTAAATAGAGTTAACGCGGTTAGAGGTTAACTGCAACAGAGATGCCATGAATCATTGCTTTTCGATACTTGTACTGTTACTCTCAAATACAACCTCTTGCTGGCCATGAATATAAGACCAGAGTATCCTTCCGAGTAACATTTCAAGAGGGGTACTCATTCCTGACACTTTGACTTGCCGTGGCGCATCCTTTCATTGGTGCTCTCTGGGGTGCCAACATGTTGAACCGCGAAGTCTTTGAGGTACAACACTCGATGGCCGCAACCATGTTACTCCCAAGGTAAAATAAACGTGAAGAGGCCAAATTTCTTTTTGGGCCGGATCTTAAATTCTAACCAATTTAGTGCCCTCAGTGGGTAAACGCGTTCACCATAGCAGCCGGGTGCGAGTTGCACAGGCGTTTGTGATCTACGCGTGTTCCTCCGGCTTCTGCCTATGGGATCTGGCAACTATTCAATCTCTCCCATCGCCATCCACTATTTCATGAACAACTGGGCGTGCAAAATGACAATTTTACACTCTTTTGTTTTCCCTCTCTTTAATGAGGCGCTTTGTTGCAGCACGATTATGAGGCGACTGTCGCTGAAAGTGTCCGAGGAATCCAGGTGCAAGTCGGTGGTGTACTCGTCGTGGCAATTTCCAACTTCAAGACTCCTCACGTTGACTTCACTGCACGCAGGATGAAGACGAATTTAACATTACCCATGATACGTGACATGCGATCTCCATTTGATTCAAAAATTGCCGACAACCTCGAGAGCCATCGTGGGATAAAGTGCCCTCCAGGTTTTCCGTCGACTTGCATGCATTCACGTTCATGAGCACACTCACTCGTAAGGGTTCTTTGGGTACCTGCTGTTGTAAATTTGACCCATGATGGATTGAGAACCATGTGAGCTCGTGAGTTTTGCTAGGATGGCTCAGGTCGGCGTTGAATCATCGTCATACCCACCTACCTTATCTCAATCGAAGTCACATCAGCCTTTGCCACAGCGCCAATTGTTCCTTCGGACCCAATTATTACCTCATAATTGTATCTGGCATTCCGGCTTGATTGGTTCCAGGAGAAAGCCACCTACTTCTAAAGATGAGGGACTTTGGTAATAACCGGTGTGCCGATGTCAGAAAACGGCGGGTTTAGCATGAAGGCCTTGGTACCGTAGCTTATGCAGGTACGGACACAGCTCCGCTCCAAGTCCAACCCCTGGCAAGAGTTGAGGCCAATCCTGACGGTCTAGCCCAAAATTAGCTGCCAATCCAATTCATGCCGTTTTTCCCCATTCTTTCTTGGTGTAACAGGGCGTGTGGTACTCACCCATGCTTCAACGCTGGCTGATGGGTGAACAACACGAGCGGCACAGTATTCTACCTTAGTCAATGGCCGTCTGACAATTTACCGTCGCTCGGGATGAAAGTGCAATGCCACATGTATTCAGCCCCCGACATTCTCCTCGTGATCTTCCTCACCGCCCGAAGGCCGTATAAATGCTTGCTTTGTTGGCTGGTAACCTAGGCTGACAGGACCAGGGTCTTCGGTT